AAAAAAAAAAAGTATGAATACTACAGGCTTGGAAAAGGCAATGCTATAAAGGAGAATTATTTAACCTGTTAAGATGCTACTATCTTTTTTGATGCATTCAAGTTACCACAATGTAGTGCTGACGGTTCTAGTCCATCTTCAGATTGCAAACCCTGAGCAGGAGCAACTGTAAGGGCTGCATTTGCAGATTGTTCAAGAACAGGAATGCACAGGCTGGCCTGCACTCCTGACTCACCACCACACGAGTGATGGAGGTGAGGTGAGCCACGCGGGGGCCTCATCTCTTTGGCCACTGGTCTGGGGGAGGCCACCCTCACCGTTGCATGTGTGGGATAAACACTAAAACGTAATATTCAAAATTTACAAAGCTGAGGGGGCGCCTGGATGGCTCAGTCAGTTAAACTTCCGACTCTTGATGTCAGCTCAGGTCATGATCTCAGGGTCATGGGATCGAGCTCCACATAGGGCTTCATGCTCAGCAGGGAGTCTGCTTAAAATTCTCTCTCTCCCTTTGCCCCCCTCCGCTCTCTCTCTCAAAATTAAATAAAATCTTTAAAAAATACACAAAGCTGAATAAGCATGCAATATTTAAATAATTAAACTTTTAACTGATGATTTCTGTGAGCTTGGAGCATTTCCACTTCTGCTCTGGGACACCCTGTATATAGCCTTACATAGCTACCATTGGAAAGAAAAATAAGGACTTCTGTGCGCAACTCAGGAAATTAGAATAAGGAATAACACACACACACACACACACACACACACACACACACAAAAGAAAAGAAAAGAAAAGGAATAAGAAAGGCAGAAGTCAAGATTTCTAAAGTAAAATGCACATTAACTATAGGGGAGATTACCAACCACCCCTTGAAAATAGGAGTAGGATAAATGGACAGAAAAATTCGATAAATAAAAATACGTGTGAACATAACCACAGATATTTATGACTTAAAGCAATTAAAAATAGATTATTTTTTTTTTTAAATACCTCTTACTCCAAACAATGTAGGCTCCTGAGAACCAGTCACTTGTGCACACTGAGTCTTCCAATGCACCTTTCTGCCGAGTAATTCATGTAAGCAGGCCAATGAGATGTCAGGCTGTCATCCCTAGCTGTGAAATTAAATGTGTTCTTCCTTGGTGAATACTGTGTTGACAGGCTGTGTTTAGAGGAATTAGGGCAGGTAAAGGCAGGAGAAGCCTGGTGTCTGGTGCCTCCTCAGTCACTCTTTTTCCTTCCCTGCTCCCCCCAAAATGAGGCCAGCAAGGACAAACCCTACCGACTTCACGATAGCAGCAAGACGTGTGTGGAGCATCCCTGATGCAGGAGGCAGAGGAGAGAAGCAATTGATCCTCTGGTGGAGCCAGATCAAGAGCCCCTCATGGCAACACTGAGCACCCTGGGCACCCTGGGAGGGGATTGTGCAAGTCCCCATTCTGGGGTGAAGGCAGGGGGTCAGCAGCATGGGCTCAAGGAGCCAGGCAGGCTGGGCCTGCAAACTCTCAAAACGAAAAACGAACGGATTGAAACTGCCTCTCAGCACCAGGCTCCCTGATGCGGGGACACTGCTCGGAATCGAGGGGGCAGAACAGGTACAACTGGGGAGAGAGGCCCATGGAGGGTGGGTGGGGAGAGCAGTGCCAGGGGCCTCAGAAAGGAGGGTGCATTTGTGGACACTCCAGAACCGTGGGCTCCAGAGTCAAGGAGCTAAAGGAGCCATCCCCCTACCCAAAAGTTAAGGAAACTAAGGTCACACACACAAGAGCCACAGAAAAGGGCTGCACTTAAATACAGTATCAAATTCTTATCAGTAAAAAAGAATAAGAACAGGATCAGGTCCTTAGAGACAAAAACAGTTTACCAGAAAGACATCCCTGCAAAATGGATAGAAACTATAACCCAAGATTTCAAGATGAACTAGAATAGATTAAGAAAATAACAGACGATATTAAAGAACAATAGAAATCAGGATTTGATCGGAGGGGTAGACGAACCATGAGAGACGATGGACTCTGAAAAACAAACAGGGTTCTAGAGGGGAGG